TCGTTTTCATTGGGGTCCCAGCCCAACAGTCGGGAAACACCAACTGGCGATAACTTCAAATTGCAGGTCTTAGGACCTATCGACAGAGTTATCACTTGAACTCCCCTCCTCTTCTTCCATCCACACCCCGGTCGCGTAGACAACGCATGACGTTGAAGTTGGTGCACTGGCATGTGCAACACGTGGCCCAGCTGAGGGTACCTGAGATGTAAGATTATGGTGTTGAGCGCTTCACTCACTCTTCCTGCACCAAATACTCGACACGGAACACGCACACTGTTAGCGCGGTGCTCACACCAGACATGAGCCAAGGTGCGAAGGCAGTGATGACCTAACTTAGCTATCCTCTTATCTGTTGATCTGATGGGTCATGTTTCCAAACCGTATAGGACCGATGTACTGACGGCAACGTTGTACATTCTGTCCTTCATGGCGAGAGTGAAGTTGCGCCGGTGCCACACGTTACGGATATTGGCAAAAGTGCCTCAAGGTTTTTCTGTATGATTCGCTGCTTCGTCTTTCACTCCCCATGCACTGATATAGCTATCTATATACTTAAATTTCTGTTGGAATTCTAAATGATTCCCTACAAGTTTCAGCTTTGCGGTGAGTGCCAATCTTGTTGTACTTTAGTGGACCAAGCCTAAGGTTTCATTATCAAACTCCATCCGCAACATTTGATTATCCCATGCGAAAGCTGTGACCAATTCTCTCGACTGTGCGATTGAACACCCAAAGCTTTGCATCTACGAACGGAGACCATTTTGTTACTGGTAATGTACCAAAATTCAATAGCTTCTGCTTTTCGTACTCCAGTGCCAAATAATTTTTGCTTAGTTTCTTTGGAAATCTGACTACTTACAACCTACCAGTAACTCGATTTATTACCAAGGTTAAGCAACTTAAAAATTCCCGTAGAGTCAAAAGAACACGAGACCATAGGTGAACAATTGTTTTCGATGATTCTCTTCAGACCATTACAAGCATATTTAAGGGTAAAACAATGAACTGAAATCGACTCATTGGGTCAAGTTACATAGTCAATTAACGGATCAGTAAGGGAGGCTAAAAGCTGACCTTTAATCTGACAGGTCGATTTCATGTTATCGAGCTTGATCTGTGGCAATCGACCTCAGTATCGTTCGTTCTAGCTGGCCAGGGAAGCTGTAAGGCATGGAGCAACTTCTTTTGCGAGCATAATGAAGGTCGAAACAACAGAATGCAAATCAATCCAGCTGTCGCGTGCGCACGGAGGCGCTAACCTTCTGATTAATGCTGGGGGACCCTGTAAATTATCCTGAAGGCAAGCTTTAGATCGACTTGGTGCCCCGTGTCGACAATATGAGCCAAAACGTCGCTGCTAATGACCCTAGTTCCTCCTTGACACAACCAGCGCGGGCAGTGCTCCTTCACGCGTTTGGACAAGTGCCGTGCCGTTCGACCAATATAAGTAGCGTCACAAACGCACATGAACTGATAAATAACCATAGATGAGGTCAGCAACGGCAGCGTATCCTTATTGCGTGAACAAACAAGGGGTTCAGTAGAAAATGTGCACTTTAACCTGCCTGCTGGGAATGTCGACTTGACTACCGCTGAAAGACTTTTGGTTGGGCGCTCGGCAGCGGCATCCCCCTTAAAAGGTATTCTTAAAAATAACTCCTTCTTCGCCGAGGTTAAAACTGGTACCGGCTTGGGCTTTCTTCAAAATTCTTTGAAACAAATCTATCAGGGTAGCCATTCTCGCGCAGCGTATTCTTTATAAAGAATAAGTAATCGGATTTATCCTAATGGCAAGACGCTTAGACGGCATGCGCTTAACCAAGGTGATACGGTGCACTCCAAGATAACGGAATTCGAAAGGAATTTTGCATTACGCCATGTAGCAACGGAGGATTGGGCCTCAGAGGAAAAGGAGAGGTTCTTGGATAATGTCCAGTCTATTACCAGTAATAGTGCACATAGCAGACGTTCGGCTTTAGAAAAAACGCTGTGCCAGTTAAAACCACAAGCTGTGTTTTTGAACAAGCCCGAAAGGTACGTACACAACTTTTCTAGCGTGAAACTGGATACAACTTTAATTGAAGTTCTATCGCTCGGTTTAAACTTTTGTGCACCTAGACGTAGAGACAACCAACTTCATTACGAGTTGCAATTCGAAAACCTATATGACCAAAAGAATGGGTTAACACCTGCGTCTACTATGAATCTCGAACGCTTTAATTGCTTCTTGGTACATTGTTGCTATCAATATCCTAAACATCGTGTCCATAATTGTGATCCATTAACAAGAAAGCACCTAGACGCGCTGAAGGTGCTTAAACGCAATGAGGAGGTCATTCTGTGCAAACCGGACAATGGTGCCTGTATTGTGTTATTAGATAAAAAAGATTATATTGATAAACTCACAATCATTCTGAGCGATAAGACGAAGTTTTCCTGCGACACGAGGGAAGCTGACCAAACGGAACAGATTGAGAGACAGATCACTAAAAGCCTACAACAGCTTCGGGTCAAGGGGTACGTAACCGATGCATTGTGTGACAGTCTTAGACCTTGTGGCACAAACGTTCCGAGACTTTACGGCTTGCCAAAAATCCATAAGGTCAACATCCCGCTTCGTCCTATTCTGTCAATGGTTAACTCCCCCTACCACGCAGTTGCTCAGTGGCTTGTAGGAATGCTTGAGCCGGTGAGACAACAGGTTGTGACTTACGGCCTGCGCGACAGTTTTCAGTTTGTCGAGAGCACCAAGGAGGCCAAAATTAATGAGAAAGTGATGCTCTCCTTTGATGTTGTCTCGCTTTTCACTGACGTCCCGCTGATCGAAACCATTGATTACATTTGCGAGCAGATAACGAAGTTGGAAATTAAGATTTGTATACCTGTGCTTGAATTGAAAAACTTATTGCTGCGATGTACATGGAATGTGCAACTTCTATTTAATGGTAAATTTTACCGGCAAAAGGATGGCGTAGACGTGGGATCCCTCCTCGGTCTATTGTTCGCGGATATATTCATGGCCAAATTGGAGCGAACAAAATTGCAAGCGGAGATAAAATATTTTGATTACTACCATCGTTATTTGGATGATATATTTAGTGGCGGATAAAGGCATAAATCTGGATGAGGTTCTCGATGGTTTTAACCGGGTTCACGCAGCATTGCAATTTACCTACGAGGCAGAAACTTGCAATTGGCTTCCATATCTAGATGTCTTGTTAACTAGGAGGCCAGACGGCTCCATCCAGTGGAAAGTCTGCAGAAAAAATACGTGGATTGGTCAGTACACGAATTTTCAAATTTCCGTCCCACTGAGATATAAGCGAAACTTAATCCACTGCCTTACCACAAGAGCACGTAGAGTTTGCTCACAGGACACCCTGGATGAGGAACCAGCCTTTATAAAGAATACGCTGCGCGAGAATGGCTACCCTGATAGATTTGTTTCAAAGAATTTTGAAGAAAGCCCAAGCCGGTACCAGTTTTAACCTCGGCGAAGAAGGAGTTATTTTTAAGAATACCTTTTAAGGGGGATGCCGCTGCCGAGCGCCCAACCAAAAGTCTTTCAGCGGTAGTCAAGTCGACATTCCCAGCAGGCAGGTTAAAGTGCACATTTTCTACTGAACCCCTTGTTTGTTCACGCAATAAGGATACGCTGCCGTTGCTGACCTCATCTATGGTTATTTATCAGTTCATGTGCGTTTGTGACGCTACTTATATTGGTCGAACGGCACGGCACTTGTCCAAACGCGTGAAGGAGCACTGCCCGCACTGGTTGTGTCAAGGAGGAACTAGGGTCATTAGCAGCGACGTTTTGGCTCATATTGTCGACACGGGGCACCAAGTCGATCTAAAGCTTGCCTTCAGGATAATTTACCAGGTCCCCTAGCATTTATCAGAAGGTTAGCGCCTCCGTGCGCACGCGACAGGTGAATTGATTTGCATTCTGTTGTTTCGACCTTCATTATGCTCGCAAAAGAAGTTGCTCCATGCCTTACAGCTTCCCTGGCCAGCTAGAACGAACGATACTGAGGTCGATTGCCACAGATCAAGCTCGATAACATGAAATCGACCTGTCAGCTTAAAGGTCAGCCTTTAGCCTTCCTTACTGATCCGTTAATTGACTATGTAACTTGACCCAATGAGTCGATTTCAGTTCATTGTTTTACCCTTAAATATGCTTGTAATGGTCTGAAGAGAATCATCGAAAACAATTGTTCACCTATGGTCTCTTGTTCTTATTGCAAATTGTTTACGTAATCTCTCTGCCCGTTAAATTATAGCCATCAGCATGGGTCGATATTGAATGGTGCTTATTCGTGCACACATTGTTCGAAGTGCAGTTTTCTCTGGTACTTCAGGGAACCGCTGTGCCATTCTTTTGGTTTCCGAGTAAAATGTAACTCCGATCGGAATGACTGGGATTTGGATCAGTAATCGTGGCGGCATAAACATACTTCGCAGCCATCGGCATCTCGCTATGCCAACCGGTCACTTTGATCAGTCATAAGCACTTCGCATAGGTGCACCAATGGGCTGGTTCTATTACTTTTAAACTGAATGACATACCGCAATTACAAATTCCTTTTAGTACAAACAGCGGTGAGTTATAAGTATTCGGTTCGCCGCGTCAGAAGGAGATAACAACCACGAAATTTAAATGAACTTATAGCATTCATGTTTTGATTTGACAGACTTCAAAGGCCTTTAAAGGTAAATAATCAGCAGTGAGATGCTACTCTATAAGCTTCCGGCTACCCGAAAGAACGTGAGATTAGCAGCGCTGAGACGACATAGGCTGCCCTCGTATTTACTGCAAGGGCGCCAGCTTTCTACTTGAAGACCACTTTGTCAATATATCGAGTTGTACGCAATCATATTTACCACTTAAGTGACATCTATATTACTGATCGATCCGAGATAACGATGTGGAGTTTGCTGCATCTTAATCGTCGCAATTTTAGCATACAAAGTGCTATGTTTTAACAAATTTCCAGGGCATTTTTATCGCTAATTTGGCACACTACGAATTCCCTCCGGTCTCTGTGCTCGGGAAAACATATGAAGCTCCCACATGGGTGAAGGTGACCGCGTGGTGCATCGTCTTCTCATCCCTCATCTTCATTCCAATCATGATGTTAGTGCAATTTCTCAAAGCCAAAGGCACCTTACTTCAAGTGAGTTCCAACAACATGATAGCTTCCGAACTTAGTTTTGTCAAAACTAGTGGTTAGGTAATTCCATTAGTCATGCTAAGCTGGCTAGCATGCGCTATTCCCGAACATGTGCTTGAGTGGCCAAAAGTTTGAGTATATATGGCGAAAATATCATTAGCAAACATAACACGTAATGTTGCATTATGCTATGTCAGTACGGCAACAAATTTGCTCGGCTGTAGGATAAGACATTGGATGTTTCGTATCCGCGAATAAAGATATACCGCTATTGGTTAAGTGCCATAAACAACTAAGGTTTTTCAATTTCGTTGTTGCACTGTAATGTTGTAAACGTCCAAATCATTTGAGTTCACTGCGTTCCCCTCCACTAATCTGAGCAAGGTTGCAAGGGTATTCTTTGGTACATTTTTGTGGTTCTCTTTATTGCCACCCTACGGGTCTCATTAAAGGTTTGCTTTTTTCACCCGTAATACACTATTGTTCCATTTTAAGTTTAGATGAAAAAACAAATGCTTTAATTTTGTTAAAATTGCCGTCTTCAGTATTCCCACATCTCTTAAATAGAGGATTAGCTGTTTACCGTGTCTGTTGGACCTGCTTTTGTCAACTCGTTGATGTTGTAGATGACCCGGTACCATTAATCCTGTTTATCTTTGTAGCCGGTGGTGGTCGGGTAATGTAAAAAAGCGGCGATAAAATAGTAAAGTATGCGATGACTGTCTACCTCCGAGTTCTGGTCACATTGACTGTCGCTGTGGCCTAAATAGGAGTAGGATCGCAATCAGAGATGTGTGGGAAAAATCCCGCCATCAGTTATGAACAACAGATGCGAGTCATTATCCAAGAAGTAGCTCACAAGTACCGTTACGCAACAAGCAGAGTGATTATTCTGTGCTAGCCCTGGCTCCTGTATGCCGAATCACATAGTGTTTTATTTAAAGCTCCTATTCCTATAAATCAGTGAGTCTCTGCATGGCGTCAGACCTCGCCGGTGCCATGGATTAGATCGTGAGTGAAGCATTAGTAAATAGAAGACAAATTCCATGTATGCCTGCCCTAAAAACTGTCCTCAGAAGTGTGCCTAAGTGTAATCTTCAGTTTAATTCGAACAACACCTAAGCACAGGCTGAAAGTTTTGTGTCGAAGTCGGCAAGTCGTTAGTTTCCCCCGTTTGTTCGCTTGCATTCGGAGTCGACTTGGGTTGTTAGCCAAGCGGCAACAGTTACTTGTGTGTCGGTGCATAGAGCTAATCATTTAAGCGAGAAGCTGCAAGCCCAGTTTTGACGATTTTCTTTTGAATCCTTATCTACACAAATTTCAGCGTTTAAACTACCTCATAACTCCGGAGGACAGACCTGTATTCAGTGATCAGAAACAACCCGATGCCATTGAATCTCAGCAAATGAAGACGGAAGCTCCGTTGACATCTGACAAATAGTCCACATGGTGTCTGATGTCGTCTGGACCAACTCCTTATGCCATGGAACTAGCTGCAAGTGTGACTGGAGCACCCGACAAAATAACCAGGACAATCACTCAGACCATGCCCCAGACAGACAAAGGAGCCGTTTTTGGACACAGTCTATGCGCAATCAGTCAATCCAGCACATTCATTGGCCTTAATATGCATTCACTATCTTTACTCGTCTGCCTATAGCTTATCTACTTGTAAACTCAGATTTTCGGCATGTTTTGGGGGTACTTGGCCATACTGTATCATTACCTTTCAGTTCTCAAAGGACCATACTTTCTCACTTAATTATATATCCTACGAATCGCTTGTGTTGTTAACACCATAGGTTAACCCGCTGGCCAAAGAATGTTTTTGTTTAATAAAATGGTTCTTTTTGGGTACGAGGTAAGGGACATGAAGTACAAACTGCACATAATCGATGTGATGAGACAAGTATTCCGGTTCCAAAAGTAGGCCATACACTAGTCCAAGGGGTTGGAGTCGAAGTGCTCATGGCACTCTCAGTTCCCACAGGCCCTGACAACAAGGTGCCATTTAGAGCGCTATGAGCCACTGGCGCTGATGGTCCTATGGAAGCGCTCAATGAGCCTCATAGCGTTAATTTCAACTGAATGCGATACCTTGAGTTGATACATTTCGTAGATCACATAGTACAAATTAGTCAGCACGGATACCGAAATTTCAACGTATACCTGCAAGATGAAATGCTTCGTGAAGAAAAAACATCATGCCTACCTACATGTCAGATACATGGCTTTAGGTTATCGAATGCATCGAGGAACTATGTTGGACATGTCGGTTGAAAACCTCCCCCTACATCAAACGCTTATAGAAAGCCACAACTACGAAGTAGCACGACTGCGTCCGGTATCACCGAATTGCAAAACCGAAAAGCAGTACTTCCAACTGTCCAGTCAACTTCAAAGGAGAGTTGTCACAGCTGTACTCAAACAATCACTACGCATCCAGAAAGCGTTAACCAACCTGTCATTAGTGAGCACCATCTGGATTACGCGTCGCAATACAAATTCACCGAGCGGGATCCCAAGGCACCAACGAATTTCAAAGCGATTTTACACCATTAACCACAGGGGAAAATATTGGTAATCCCTTCCGGTAGCTGTAGCCTCGTTATCGAGACTACACATCTAAGTATTACATACTGTTCTGATGTTCATCATCTTCACGTTAGCAGCAGTAACTGACTTTTTAATTCTGTGGTCAACACAATCACGATGGAGGTGAGGGTTAAACCGACCTCTGTTTACCAAAGAACACTTTGGTAAGCGGAGGTCGGTGCACGCTTCCTGGCAGGAGCTGCGCTACTCGCCCAACTAGCCGGAGGCACATACGTCAGCATTGGTTATATTTGATACGGTCATGTGGTCACTTTTACTATAGCAGTTAGCTCATGATATATCAAGTATCAGAACCACCACTTAACCACATACCATGTTATCTGCGTGATCGTGCAGCGGGCGACTCACACCAGCATGGACCAGACATGACCACTGCGAAAAAGTTGATCCCCCCCCCCCGAATGAAACTTTGATCATACGAGATCCATTAATTTATTGCATATTCCAACTAGGTCCCACTACTTAAACTCTACCGTTCCGTCATGTTCGCTTGTATGAATAACTGCGCAGGGCCGAATCGCAGAAAGAAGCGTATCCGGTTTTGTCCATCGTTCCACAATGGAGGGATCCGAATGGACTACTTATTGTATCGAAGGATCCCAGATCCAGTGGTGATTTCGCGTTCAGTTGCTTCACGTTCGAATTCAATAAACAACACAGTTCACATTAATAATTTGACTAAACTCAAATGCTTATATGTATGGGCCATTTATATCGATCTGGCGGTCTCGTTACGTCGGAGATGATCTCGCGTGTGCTGCACCTTGTTTCTTCAGTCTGGCCATCCTTGAGTGATTGACGTCTGCATGACGTCGGTCCCCGATCCATGGGTATCTCTAGTTGCCTTCGATACCAGTTCTGATATTCTGTCTACTCGTTCGTTGCTGCCATCCAGTTCATTGGTTAAATAAACCACCAATATTGTTTGGAAGACTCTCCGTACGATGGCTATGACAGTACTAGGCTGGGACATTGATCCCTCATGCGACGGGGACATCCCAGTCATGGCCCGTGTTCATGTGCAACGCGCTTGCCCAAAGTTTACAACATCGTTGTATGCGTTGAAGGCTTTCGTGACTGCTTTGAAACAATTAACGTTACCACCTGCATGACTTCGAGCAGGATAGTATAGACACACACTGCATGAGAGTTGTGTGTGTGTCGTTGGGAATGGTGCATTGTCATGCATCAGCGCTTCATCCGTAAGCTTTTGACTCCTGCCGGTGTTTGCGGTCATGTTACCAACGCGAAAAGTTTCTGACGATGTTTATTAGCTCAACGGCTAGGTTGTTCATGCCAAACCAAGTGGGAAAAGCAGTGCGTGATGTTTTACACTTGGGTGTCTGGTACAAATGCTAATCCAAGATTGGTCATTTTCGTTGGTTATTTGCACCAAGCATTCTCAACCTTTATTTAGTCGTGGCTCCCTTTGGAACCTTTTCATTTCTCATGGCTTCCCATCCTTGATCACCACAAATTCAGCACTTCGCAACGCTTAACAGACGTAAATCTGGGATTTCCAGTAGTCATATTTCTTTCTTGCCATGATAGCTAAACTCTAAAAGTTGGTATCACTATTCGTCCCCTTACAAACCTCATATTATAACATTCCCCGCCGCTAGATAACATTCATCTTTTGGCAGTATCACAGACAATTGGTCTGTAATTACATAAACGCACTATTTAATATTTAAAATGGTATTTACTTATTGTTGGCTTTTAACTGTAAGGGATGTCATGAAGTAGGTGTAGTAACTTCATAAAAATTTGTTTGTTGAGATATTAATGCAAACCTTGAGCCTGCTGTCCTTGAGCAAGCTTGCTTTTGTCCGACTTCAGACTAGACAGTGAGAGTCGAAGAGCTCTTGCTGTGATGTCCAATCTGTTTATACTATTTGTTAGAAACCACTGCTTAGTCCACATTCAACCAAGTATGTGGATGGAAAAGCAAGAAAATATTTTTCAGCCATTTCCCACAGTCCGTGGTCTCTGTTAGGGGCATAAGTCTTTATCCAAAAATCCCTTTATATTGAATGAACTTGGATAATGCTAGTGTGTCACTTTGAATCTCTATGAGACTTTTCTGGATTTTAACTCCAACACCGCAGAGTTCTACACAAATGGATCCAAAATCCAAATCGGGAATGGTGTCAATCAGGTCATGAAGGTTGTATTTCATAATCTTTACACAGTTGTTGTAAATGACTGGCTCCTTGTTTGTAGAGAGAATTGGGAAAGGTAAAAATTCCCGACGTCCGATATTTTGAGCACACTGCCAGTTTTTCTTAAGAAAAGCGATAATGGCTTCTTTGTTCGAGACAAGATTACTCAACTTGCCCTGAAGAGTTTCGTTCAATAAGTTGTTATACAAAAATATCATCCAGAAAAAACACGTCTGACTACACTGAACAGTTTTATTTCATAAGCAGTTAAAGAAATGAATGGGATGCTGGTGTCGCAGTGCCACAAAACGCGTAGACAGCTGCAACAGTAGAACCTAGAAACCATCACTGTTCTCCTCACACAACTGCTGGAAAAGACAATTTGAAGAGGGGGCGATTTGATATTGTTGGCTACTATTAAAACAGTTGACAGTGAATCTTATAAGCCGCCTCCCAAGTTGTTAACCACTAGGTAATCTCTATGAATCACGCAGTGCATTGTGATCAGAAGAAAGGAAGTGCTTTAGGTAAGCAATAACACTTTTATACCTTCCGACGCTCGCGTCAACACGGTCTGTTGCACAGGCAACCATGTTGTATTGGAATGGAGTTTCAGTCAGATAGCTATTGACTACCTCAACTATAGACCGGCCCTTTGTATGAGATCTAATTCTCTTGGCAAACAGCATCTCTTCCACTAAATCAATATCATTGAAGAATCGGACATTTACCATAAGTAGAGCGTCATTGCCAGATAAAACAAATGCAACTACACCTAGATCATAAATGCTGTACAGAAGTCGCGACGTATCCAACTTTCCAATGCATACAGTATTTCATGGACCTGAAACTATCCGCTACTGCAGACTACTCCTCTTGATGCTCACCATAAGTGTCCCGTTTGATGCAGTCAGTACGTATCAGCATCAACGCACAGAACAGCCAACAACTCTTTATTTCGTGACTATAAATACACGCAAAGAAATTACTTTCATGTGACCTCATTCTTTTATCTAAAAAGTCGGATCGAAACTCATTACAATAACAGCAAAAGCAATAATATGCACTAAGTAGTTACATATGAATAGTATGATATCTTGCGCAGGCAGAAATCATGAAATCGATCAATCAGTGAATAAAAATAATATGTAGGTTTCAATACATTCGGCGCTTGCATCGTAAACCGTAGCCAACCACGCGCCCATCATCGTTTGTTTGTGGTATCCTTTTATTGCGTATAAAATAAATTGGGCAATAGTATTCCTTCGGACATATGCACATCACCCGACCACCGTAAATGTATCCATCTGCGCTTGGTGTCTCCATGTAGCAGAGTTGGTCCTCACTACATTTCGGCTGTATTCAACAAAAGTATGAACGACTGCGTTAGCTCATGGGTCTCAATTGTGCGCAGTCTTCAGATACAATAAAATATTAGTTTATTGCAGGTGAGAAAGTTAACATTTAATAAGTCTCGTTGGACGGTTAGGGTGAGGATTGTGTATGCCTGGAACAACGTCCACATAGTGCACTACGTAACTGCGCACTCACTGTGGTGTTCCTATAGACACAAAAGTAAGTTCGCCTTACCCATTGTTGTGAAGAAACTAATAAGTACGGTGCCTGAGTTATGTGTCTCCTGATATACATGGTTTATATCATGTAGTGTACATAGCAAAATATCAACAGTTCACTTTTTACAGGTAGAAATTCGTCACATATAGACTCTATCAGACAGCCATCACACACCCTGGAAAGCACTGTACGCGCGTTTCATCATTTCGGGAATCGTCAGCAGTGCCCATTCCATTGGACCCTGGTAGGGCTCGAACCCGAAAATCGACTGTTGCCAGTCCGTGATTGAGACCACTGAGATACGGGGGACGGCAACGACCATGGTGATTAAGGTACTAGCTGTTATATAGCGCCGCTCACTATCCAGGGTCCGATGTAATGCGAATTGCTGAGGATTCCCGAAAGGATGAAATGCGCATACAGTGCTTTTCCCGGCGTGTGATGGCTGTCTGAGTGTGTCTAGATGTGACGAATTTCTACCTGTACCATTAAACTCCCCTACTCCTCCTATGTAATTCGCTTTTTAAATACGGGTAACGTGAGCACAGAGTGGTGAGTCAGAACAACGTTCCACAGCTGAAAAGTTGGAAGAAAACTAATTCCATTGACATTCCAACCGGCTCAACTACAAGGATAACTTAAGCTGTTGACCACGCTAGTTGGCATTGTCGCTAAATTCAAGGAAGCAGCAGCGAACGTGATTTGAGTGTTAATCAGCACATGGACGAATATTTCTTCCAATGTAAGTTCCAGATTGAGTATGCCACTAAGATAGCAGTTATCTAAAACTCCTATTAGACGCACTAAACGAGAGGCAATTGACAGTATCCGTTTCAGGGAGAAAATGTGGTAATTACCCAGAAACTACGACTGTTAATGGCAAATACGGCTGACAAAATTATGCGCTAAAACAAAAGCCACGAGGTGGGTGCAACAAAACGGAAGCGTACAGTTACGAATTGTCAGACAAAATGCATCTCAGTTTGTGTTTCACCCAACGTATGCAATGGGAAAAGGAACCTGCCCACAACATTCTCAGGGATCCTACAATGTGGGGTCTCGAGTGCAGGGGGATCATGTTTCTGTCCAGATTGTCAGATTTGGATGACTTATGGTACATAGGGTCTCATGTACGCGTTACACGTTTTAGGGAAGATGGCAAGTGCGAACCACCCGGGTGGCATTCGCAAAAGACGGCCGCGTAGGCTAGTTTTCTGAACATTTATGTACTTAGAGCAACCGATACCATCTTGCGCCTTTAACCCGAGCTCATGCCCCTGCGAGAAGTGGCCTCCGAACATCTTTGCATTACTTGACCTATGATCTCTGTAGACAACTTCGCATCTGTCATGGTTAAACGGGAATAACTTCCTTGTTCACCATTTGTACGTACCGTCCAGATCTCGGTATAGCCAACAGCGTTCTTCTTGACTATTGATTGTTGACCATATTTACAACTCATCAACTCAAAGCACATTCGAAGCCACCACAAACACAATGTCGTTGGTGAACACCAGAAAGAAAGCAGTCTTAACAGTGAGGTTTGTAGAGTACTGCCATCTGCCAAAGTTAGTCCGAACAGTTGGCCCACAGCTCATACCTACGGTGCTCCTGGGGAAAAGACCAGGACTCAAAACAGAATTCCTAATTATGTAGCGTTGGAATTTAGGAGAAAAGGTATGGTGAATTAGCGGGTCAGATACTCTGAAGAAGGTAGGGCAAACGACATCGGTTTCGATCCAATCAGCCGTACAATCTGTATGTTGATAGTGACTGCCTGTTGGTGGCGAAGGCTCTGCTACACTTGAGCTATGATGTTGGATAACTCCAAATAGCTTGAGGTCTTTAACCCGTTAGTGATCTTAAAAATTAGTAGTATGGTACAATACTGCTCATCCAAACTCCTTTAGAGAAAATTTAAAGGCTCGGCTAAGCTCGTAGTTCCACTCCGAAATGACTGTGGGTCGCAGAGATAGCAGCTTGCTTAATATGCTTGCTAACCTAAAGGCAGAATGTACACCTACTGTCGTCTGGAACCTGGAAGAAGATTTGTACCTCGAATTATTGTACACACTGCAGCCGTAATGTGTTGGTTCTCTCCACAGCCTTTTATGCTAGTTCTTTTGAGATATATAGTGAGATAATACACAGCACTTCACCTAAGTTATAAAAACGCTTGTACAGTAGATTGCATTTGAAGTTGTGCAGTTCCAACCGGCGTAAATATCAGAGGTGGTTGTACGTGGTCGGAGACATTGACAACCTATTCACCTCAGAATTCCATTTAGGTGACTGTTTAGAGCTGGTCTACTATTTGACACCAGAGGAACAGCACCATTCAGGATAGATTTAAAAAATGTGCAACTGGTTGACAAGTATTTTCAGGAGTGTTTCAGTTACACAAGTTTTCTTCGGAAGGTAAGGAACAACGAAGTTGAAAACAAATTATTCTGTGTCGGTGAGTTATTTTACGGTCGGATCTGTGGGATCCTGAATGTGTCGCAATCCCTTCTAAGTAGAGTATACGCGCTGCCTTACAGTTACTTGCGAAAACGGTGAAATTCTAGATAATAGGGCGCGAACGACGAACAACTTGGCAACAAAAGCTGCAATTGCCGATGCAACTTCTCATGGCGCACATTTTTATTAAATAAAGCCCATTCGTCGATGTGACATGTGGATATTGTAAGGCTGCAGTGTGATTCGACACCGTCAACCACAGAAGTGGAGTACTAAGCTTTTGTGATACTGTGCTCAAGGAAGTGAATGGCTTGCATTTTCCCACTTCATTATGTAAAATTATGCAGGGAAATACCTTAGAATCCAATGTTATATGGTTGTGTATGAAAGTGATGCGGCCGAAGCACGACTACCATTGCAATCATGTATTGGAGACTATCGCGTTGCTACCTTCCCAGTGACTGGGGTTAGACTGTAGATAGGGATAAAATAGCGAAAAGTCACCATATTGTCATTAATTGGAACACCCGCGATGAACAAGCAGCGTCTTTTGCAGGGAGAATCTGAACAATCATAAACTCAAACTACCATTACCCCCCGCCTCCTTGGCTTTCAAACTGTCCAAAAGAAGTGTAGCGGTTGATTCGTGCACATGTTGGTTTCAGTGAATGTACGATAGATGCAACCCCACTTTTTCCATTCCACACTTTTGTGTTGTACAGCAACAGTCAACCCATTGCTGCGCTTGGGACAACTTTCTATGCTAGACACTTAGTGGCTAACTGGAGAGCATTCTAACATTGTTCACCGAAAAGCGACACTTAGTGCATGATAGTGTAAAAGTTTAATAGTGTCACTCCACGTGAGTAATTCATGCAGTGAGTTGTCAACCATCGGAATTAGTCTAACACTGACCGTGCCGGCCTGTCTGTACATGTGGCAAATGTTTGACTTACCGAACTCTCAAGAAACATGTATGCTACGATTGAGCACAAGTCGGTTTCCAATCAGTTATAGAATTAACAGTGAAACAGCAGTGTTGCGTTCTAGGCAGCGATCGCCATTAGGATATAATATTTTTGTGTTGCCACACTGCCCAGGCCACTGGTCTATCTCGGGACTTGGAATTCGGTGAGATCAGGCGAAACCAAGTGTTCCACCTGGTTAACATATCATTCGCCAAAACACTCATTTCATAAGGCTGCAAATCTCACAGTATTTGTACGAAGAATGCAGGGAAAGTGTGGAAGGCAGATTCTGGGAGCCGACCAAATGATGCTCAATGGTCCTTGGTCAATGGTATGTTGCGGAGAAACGAAGCGGAAGGTTGACATATCCCGCCGGATGACCGGTTAGGTGTGAGCAAAATGAAGGCAAAAATAGCAGTTACGACTAGTGAACAACCCCAAATTGCAAACCTTGCCGTTTATAGTGTTCCCCTTCCGAGCCGGTCGTACTTAGTTTTACGTGTTATCCAGAATTATCGTCTGTCGTTTCTTGGCAAAAATGTGGTGGGTTGATTTGTTTTGTTTCTCTACTGTTTGTATGGGCCGTTTTGGTTACGTAACATGGTGTAGTACGGCCAGCGCACCGTTGACAGGTGATTTGAAGACGGCTAACGTGGGCGTTGAAATAACAGCTTCTAAAAGGATATTCTACGTGTGGCAAACACGCAGCGAGAATAAGTTTCTTCCACACTCCAGCCGACTATATTGTACTACAAATTTGATGCTGACCTCCCAGTTTGTTGTTGCGACTCGGCTTCAACAGCTGTTGGTACGGGTGATTAGTCTTGTTTAAAATTTGGTAAGCCATGATTAGGTCACTACGCTAACGGCGATAACGTCCGCTGAAAATGCCAAACCCTCTGAGGCGCTTTTCTTATGACAAGTGGTACACCCTGTTGACATTTGAGATGAACCCTATATCAACACGAAGGTCTGTGGTGCAAGCATAGTGGTGATGGAAAAATTGCAAGTGTACTCCAAAATTAATAATCTGAATCGATGGCCCGTTGGGGTCCTGCATACCAGCGGGCCTCAATTGACCTCATTTCTGAAACAAGTCCACTTACAGCGCAGTGCTTACCATTTAGATTTAGAGATGGATCCTTGTTCTTAGGTCCGGGATCAATTGGATACGTAGAATTTTTGCATTAGTATTTACTACGGCGTGTCTGTCAACCAAATCGGTTCGTTTTACTCGGTGAAAACCTGCGGGTACGACTGTAATATTCTGTTGAAGCCAACCGCACGAGAGAATAGATTAGTACGTTAATCTGTGCAAGTAGGAGCAGTCTAATGCAAAACCCCGAATACCAT